GAAAAGGGAGCGGGGCCCGAATCCAAGGGACCACCCCGTCGGGCGGAGGAGCTGTGAACTCAGGCCCGCAGGAAGGCTGCTGGCTCCGAACCATCCCCCAAATCCCCCACACCTTGGCGGCCTGAAACCTTACCATTCCGACACCTCACACACACCCCTCCCCTAGGGCTAAGCAGTGCGCGAGGCCCCCCGACTTCAGGCGAGACGTTGACCACTCCTTTGGAACAGTTCTGTCAGTGGCTGCACTAGACGCCCACAGAGGCGCGCGGCGCGGGCAGATGACTAGGGGAGAAAAAGCGGAGAACCTAGCTCGCTGGGAGATGTGCGCAACCTAAAGACGGGAATAGGGGAGAAGTGTCAGTGTGAGGGGAGGGCGTAAGCTGGCGTTTTTGCCTTTGAAAACTGAACAGTTTTTTTTTAGATATCTACGTCTCGGCACGCGGGGTGACTCCGACTATTGTACGTGACTGGTGACTGGTGACTCTGATCGTGGGCAAAGACCCGAAGTACGCACCCATCCAATTCTCTGCCGTCCACGGCTCGCACCGGCTCTTCCAGCGGCTCCACGCTTGCCGCCCGTGACGTCCGCGCCACGCACCACCACGCGGCCGCTCGAGAGAGCGGTCGACGCCCATACTGCTGGGCGTGGCGCTCTATCGGTCGACGCTTCGGCGTCGCTGCTTGGTAGGGGACCCGTGCCTCGACGCGGCGGCGGGCCGAGTACGGCTCGGTGGCACAGCGCGTCGCCACGGATAAGATACGTTCCTGCATACGCGAGAGGTTTGCTGACGCGCGTCTCTGACCCACACGCCGAGGCGATGGCGGTCCAGAGCGCAGCTGGTGTGCTGGGCCCGATGTGAAACCCACTTGTGCCGCCGACCGATGATTCGCTGGCAGAGATCGTTGACACTGCCTGTCACCTCTCGTGCGACCCTGGGGCGTGGGGAGGGTGAGGGTCGGATGCGGAGAGCAGGGCGGGAGAGGGTGAGGCGTACCAAAGAGGGCCGCCGTTGAGCGCGATGTCGGGCGTTTGCAGCACCTCGAGCCAAAATTCAAAGTTGCGGCCGCCGAGAGCGCCCCGTGTCACCGAGCGTCGTGCTCGAAAGCCGAGCCGCAGTTGCAGCTCTTCCGACCCGCCCGGCTGCGCGATGAGCCACCGCGGGTCGTTTGCGACCGGTTCTCCAAGCTGCATCACGAGCACCGTGCCCCCCTCGTGTGCGTTCTCCACTTCTGTGATATTCAGCGTGTGGATCACGCCCGCGCTGGCGAGAGGCGGCGGCACTGGCGACGGCTTTGCCGGCGGCCTCCCTCCTCCGGCTCGCGTCGTGATGCCTGCACCGCCGCCGTCGGCAGCAGCGCCGCTCGAGCCGGCGGTGGCGCTGCTGGCGGCGGCGCCCGAGGTACTAGCGCCGCCGGATGGTGCCAGCTGAACAGCTGCGGGCGTGGGCGCTCCGTCGGGGAGCGCAGTCGGGAAGCCCTTCCGCTCCAGGCTGCCCATGATTGAGTCACGCTGCTTCATCAGGTCCCAGATTGTGAATGACTTTCCTTTGTTGTTCTTCCCATTGAGGAAGAAGGAGAGCTGCGGAGCCGACCACCCGATTTCAGCCGCGAGCTGCCCCTGCGTCTTGACCTGCCGCTGCTTTGTCTGGACAATCCATTTCACGAGCGCACGAGTCTGGTTGACTGTCGCGAGCCGCTGCTCATGGAGCAGCGGCTGCTCCTCGTGCTCGTGATCTGATGAAAGCTCGGCATCGCTCAGCGCTTGCGCCATCAGGACGTCAGCCTCTGCCGCCGGAGCGGCGGCCTCGGACTGCGTGGCTGGGTCTGCAGCTCCGTCGACCTCCTCGGTGGGAGGGTCGGCGGCGGGCGGGTCGGCGGCGGCGCCGTCGGCAGCGGCGTCCACTGGAGCACCGCCCGTGCGCACACCAAAGTGGATTAGGAAGGCGTTCTTGGCGGCACGTATCCACCCCTTTGGCTTGGGGCCGCCTGCACCGCGTCGATGGAGCATTGGCAATGCCGCGCGGCACCTACGAATGGTTCGGGAACGCCGCCCATAGGAACGGCGCTCTCGGCAGAGCTTTCGTGGCGGGGAAACGGGTGCCGGGAGGTGCCGGGAGCGCTCTCCCGGCTCACCGGGAGGGGAAACGCCGGATTTTTTTACATGGGTCGGGAGGGCAGCTCACGGCGGTCACGCTGTGCGCACCTTGAGTCGCGAGGGCGATGCCGCGACGGTTCCCCGACCTCGGACGGACGTGCCACAGTGGTACCAGGGTGCAGGCATGAATGGGTCTGACCTCGAAAAAAATCGCGATACAAGAGGAACAACATGGTCGATGGTGTGATGGCGCTGGATGCGATAACATATCAATCAAAATGTCGATCCAAACCATCCGCCGCCCACCCCACGCGCGCCGCGCGCTCGGGGCACACGCGGGCGGGACGCGCCACGCCCGTGCGAGTGCGGCGCCCTTGCAGCAGGAGTGGAGTCGCGCCCCGGGGCGCCGCGCCCGCGGGGGGGGCACGGCACGGTTGGCTCGGGTGCTCGCGCCCCCCGCCCCCCCCCGCGCCCCCGCGCCCCCCCGCGCCCCGGCCCGGCCCGCCCCCGCGCCCCCCGGCCCCTAAGCCCTGGTCTGACAGCCTGACAGCAAACCCCTGGACAGCGCCTGACAGTGCCCGACAGCCTGACAGCGCTGACAGCACTTTCTCCGACAGTCTGACAGCACGTATCTGACAGCCTGACAGCAGAGTCTGACAGTCGAGTTGCTCCGTCGCTGTCAGGCCCTAACGTGACAGCCTGACAACTGCCCTACAGCCCGACAGCACACAGTGGCCTGACAGCAGCGCTGACAGCCCGACAGCAGCACAGACCGTACACAGTCAGACCCCGTAGAGCCTCTTTCTTGTGCCCCATGAGGGTATAACAAAACTATTGCATGCAAAGACATGTGAGTGTGGTCCATGTAGTCATGGGATGGTCATGGGTCTCTCTCCCAACCCTCCCGTCCCACACCTCTGCGCGTCTGCGGGGACCCCTCTCTAGCACCGGCGGCTGTGCTACTAACAAATGAAGCTACCAGCTACCCTTCTGGGGCCCTACAGTCATATGCCTACGGCGTCTGGGTGGGGGTGGCCGCCGCCGTCTGTGCCGCCGCCGCCGCCTGCGCCTGCGCCGCCATATGCGCTCCCCAGGCGGCCGCCGCCGCCGGCGTGATCACGCCGTGTAGGAGGAGAGGCTGAGAGTATGTGTAGTAGAGTCCTGCTGGTCTCCTCTTGATAGTGTCATAAGTGTGGCTGGTGTGTGTCACAGAGCCTGACAGCACCCCGACAGCACCACCTGACAGCACCTGACAGCAACAGCCCAGCGTCTGACAGCAGCAGCAGCCTGACAGCTCTGACAGCTCCGACAGCGTCTGACAGCAACACCCGACAGCTCCGACAGCACCCGACAGCTACAGATCACCTCGACTGTCAGACACGCACCCGACAGCACCCGACAGCACTCACAGCACCTGACAGCTGGTCTGACAGAGGCACCTGACAATGCCTGACAGCTGCCCGACAGCCCGACAGATCACCTGACAGCACCTGACAGCCTGACAGCCAGGGCTCATCTGGGCTCAGGCCTCAGCCCCGCGCCCCCCCGCGCCCACGTGTGCGCCCTGCTTCAGCCTGGTGCGCTCTGTGGCTCTCTCAGCCCGTAGGTATAGCCGTACACACACGCGCGCGCGGCGGCGCGGTGTATGTCTGTACGTGGCTGGGTTCACAGCGATTGTCGAAAATTGGGGGACACTTGACGGTCGCGGCCTTCCGACTCGCGCCTCCGCCTCACTGGCACTATTGTAGCCCTGGCCGGTGCGCGTGCAGAGTTGAAGTTCCGGAGTGAAAATTCGAACGCGTTCTCTCACGGTGACCAAAAAATGTCCACCTCAGAGGCACCTCCGGAGGCAGGCCGCCGCACGCCGGCGACACAGCTCCAGCTGTCGAACTGACCCGCAGCTCCTCTCAGAGCGGGAACTGTGACGAAAGTTGACTGAGGCGGTTGTCAGGAATCATCATACGGATCACATGGTGGCTCTCTCATGACGGGAGACCGCCCGACCACTCCTGGGTGGCACTGCCACCGGTGTCGCTCGACGTCCTGTCGACAGCGTGCCGACAGCGACACAGACCATGTGGGACGCGTCGAGTATCGACCTCTACTGCTTACCCAGCCTTCGAGTGTATCCTGGCTGTGGTCCCACACCCACTGTTGTCCATCTCAGAGACCGCAGGAGGTCATGAGGGTCGATGGGAGTGCCAACCCCACAATGCCTAAAAACCCAGCCCAGTATGCTGTTGTACTTCTCTGACACACATCTCTCTCGATTTTCTCCGGATTCCGCGCGCATATTCGCCAAATTCCGCTCGCGCTCTCCGTGTGGCGCACCAGCCTTACCGACGCACCGTAACGGGCGGTGCGTTGTTGCTAATTGCTGTTGACACAAGCAACATTGATGTGATAGGATGTATGTACTGATTACTGTTCAGCTCGCCCAACGTTAAAGCTCTCTCACGTCTACTGCAGACCACCTCGTGACGCTGACGGGCCAGATTGGAGACGGGCCAGCTGGCTTTCTCAAGCCCGGCCGCCGCGCCGCGCGCGCCGCTGCGGCGAACCAGTGCTGCGCGAGGCGCGCGCTCACCTGTAGAACTCGAACTCCTGGTCGTTCTTCTGCGTCGACGCCTTGTACCCCTTCTCGAAGTCCTTTGGCATCACCACGTACCGGTTGGCGCGCACCGCCTGCATGCCCGCCTCCTGCACGATGCACGCGATCTCGGCGCCCGAGATCTTTTCGGGCCGCGACACATAGTCCTCGAGGTCGACATCGTCCGACAGATTCATCTTTGCCGTGGCGACCTGACAACAAGGAGTGAGAGCGAGGGACGCTCACTCGCTATCTGTAGATGCATCACGGCTACATCTCGGCCGCAGCGTCTCGGCCGCATCACGGCTCGCCTGGAAGATGAGACGCTTCTCGCGCCGTCCGGGCATCGGGAACTCGATCTTTCGGTCCAAGCGGCCAGGCCTACCGGCGATAGGGCCCAGGCTCAGTCGTGGTGCCCCCCCCCCCCCACCCCCCCCTTTTTCTCTCGGACTGGCCTTCGGTCGAGGCGGCCGTGTCGGAGGAGCGCGGTCTCTCGGCGGTCTCTCGGCGGTCTCTCGGCGGTCTCTGTGCGGTCTCTCGGCGGTCTCTGTGCGGTCTCTGTGCGGTCTCTGTGCGGTCTCTGTGCGGTCTCTCGGCTGTCTCTCGCCGGAGGAGCGCGGGGTCGAGCGTGTCTGCGCGGTTGGTGCACATGATGACCTTGACGTTGACGGACTGGTCGAATCCGTCCATCTGCGTGAGGAGCTCCATCAGGATGCGCTGCACCTGCCCGGGGGTGGAGGGGGGGTAGAGGGGGGGGGGGGGGGTAAAGGGGGAGGCGGGGTTTAGAAGGGAGGGGGGGCCTAACCCAATCTCGCTGGCAGTTTTTTCTCTCGCCCTACGGGCTGAGCCGTAACCCGTGTCTTAAGAGTCAGAAAAACCTCTAGAAAGTCTTGCCGGGACTCCCGGACATGTC